ATTACAAATCCCAGTGCCCTCAAAGGTCAGGCAGTAACCTAAGTGAGCAAAGGGAACCTGGAACAGGATGTTAGGAAGTGGGGAGCAGCACAGCCAACACAATACTCTTCTGCAGAGAGCCCTAAATTGCTGTGGCATAAGAATGCAGGTCCTCTGATGCTCAATTTTCAGACTATTCAAGTGATCTTGGGAGTCTGGATACTTAAACAAAAACCTGCTGATCTCTCAAATGCTGGAGATTAATAAAAAGTTTTAGGTTTAGGGAGCCTCCAAAGGCTCCCTAAACATATCTTTGGGGACCAAACCTAGCCCATGGGTCATGGATTTGTGACCTCTATTGTAGGTGACTTTGAATAAATCTTTCGACTTGCTCCTGTGGTATGTATTGTTCTCAGTGGAAAAATATCATATATGTAAAACAAAAATGATTTTGTTTTTATTAAATATAATTAATTCTGACAGTGAGCTTCTACGCCACTGAGTTGACAGAAAATGTTGTCAGAGTCATTGGCAGGGTCCCAGTCATCCCCACTGAAGTCTGGCTTGCTCCTTGGGGTACCACAACAAGGCACCTTGGGGTACCACAACAAGGCACGGATAGGTCAACCCTGCCATTACTGTCCTGGGGTGCATAGATCCCATTCCTTGTCTCTACATTCTCTCCTGTTGGCTTTGCTGTTTTTTGTTTTTGTTTTTGTTTTTTGGTTTTTTTGTTTTTAATATTCTCACCCTTGTGTCACTGTCTAAGTACCTTTAAATACCTTTCCAGTGGCTCAGGGGTTCCCTAAGGACTGATTCTCGTAAGATGCCTGGCAGGACTAGCTATATAAACTGGGAGGCTGGTGCAAAATGAAAGTGAGTGTGTGTTCTCTCATTTCCCCCCATGTCTAATCTCCCTCCAAACTACCCTGCTATGGGAAGGTTTCTAGAAGTGAACATACCCAGCTACCAGCACAGGGGGGTTGTTTCTGACTATTCTGATGAAAGGAAAAACCAGTGTCTGGGTTTTTGTACAGTTGAGCAGGTATGGAGCACCTATGGAGAGAGGTGGGTGTTTGGGGCTTGTGTCTTGAGTGTTTCTAAGAGATGCCGCTCCTTGTAGTTGAGCTGTGGCTCTTCCTCATTCTCTCATTTCGCATTCTCTTTGCTGAGACAGCTGCATTTCCCTCTTGCCAGATCTCTCCTCCTCTCCAAATCTGACTGTCAACAGGACACAAGCCTGGCCTCCCCTCCCCCTCTCTTTAAGCACACAGGCCAAACCCACCATTTTTAGTTGCTGTTGTTTTTGCTGTGCAACTGATGGCAGATAAGATATCTTATCTTATCTGATTCAGAGCTAAGATATCTCATCAGATCTCCTTTATATTAAAAGAAAAAAGGAGTGCTGAAATGCTGGCAGCAGAGGGATTCACACAGGTAGAGATGGAGCATGACCTTGAAATTCAGATGCCAGTGCTTTTGGAGTACAAAGTCCCTGGGGCTGAGGTCGCTGGCCAGTCCCCTGGTGCTTCATGTTTCTGTGAGAGAGAGTGTGTGTGTGTGTGCATAGCGTGTTGGGAGATGGGGTGGTCAAGGGCTGGAAGGACTTGGGGCCAGCATAGTGAAGGAGTCTCCTTTCCCCAGAAAACACAAACACACTATCTGGACCTGGGCCAGGGCTCCTGAGCATGCCAGCCAGCCCAGGCCAGGCTTTCCTACTCTGCTCCCCTCCTTCCCCTGCTCCTCCATCCTCCCTCTGCTTTTCTTCTGACTTGCATTTTTCAACTGGCTCTGAGCAGAGGAGGAAAAGAGGAGAAAGGAGAACTTAATACTGACAGCCCAGAGCTTAGAATGACCTTCCTTCTCCACACATTGCCCTGAGTATTATTACTCTGAAGAGCAACAACTTTGCAGTGGCTAGAAAGCACAGTAAGAAGGCAAAGCAAGTGGTCTGCTGATAAAATCTTCTCCTCACTAAGCTTTCTACTGAAGGGAACTAAATATCTAAGGGACTAACATGAGTAATACAGAAAAGAAAAGATGAACAGAAAGACCTAAAGGAAATTAACATTAAAAGGAAAGCAGGATTTAGAATTGAGGGAGGCCTATTGGACCCAGGGCATAAAGGGAAAACAGGTCAAACTGGCTCAGAAGGGGAGTGGGAGGTTTACCTTTGAGAAAGGAGCTGCAGGTAAGAGAGAACCAGCAGCAGAGGTGAAGGTACCCACAGCACAGGGAGGTCTTACAGAAGAATGAGGTTACTGGTCATTGTGTGATTTGGAGATACATGGAAGAGGTCTGGAAGGGTCTGGAAGGACCTACTCATCTCTATGGTAGTAGAGAGCACTCACATACAATTTACCTTCTGTGACACATTGCTTTAAATGCTCTATGAGGTTGGACAATTAAGTTCTCAAACTCATCCTAGAAAAAGTGCTACATACCTCATTGTGAATATTGCTGTGATCACTTTTGAAATATTCTCCTCAGGAAGCTATGCACTGATGCCAGCGCCTAGTCTACTCTTCAAAGCACTTTTTCTAGGATGAGTTTTTGAACTTAATTGTCAGACTTCCAATGACAACAGCTTTGATGGCCATTCCAGAAAGAGTTCCAAAATTGCTTTTAAGGGTGAACTAGGCACTGATGTCACTGCATAGCTTCCCAAAGGGAGTACCTCCAAGGTGACTATAGTGATATTCAGGAATGAGTATGTAGCACTTTTTCTAGGATGGGTTCAGGAAATTGTCTGACCTCGTATCTGCATTAATTCATTTATTCCTCATAACAATCCTGTGAGGTAGATATGATCGCTATCCGCCATGTTACAGATGAGGATGCTGAGATAGAAGTTAATGAACTCTCTGTGATAGAAGGAAAAATGGCCCTGAAAAGATTTCTCTGTCCAGCTGGAGCAAGAGTGAGACCCCATCTCTACTAAAAACAGAAAGACTATCCCAGCATGGTGGTGGTTACCTGTAGTCCCTGCTACTCAGGAGGTGAAGATAGGAAGACTGCTTGAGCCCAAGAATTTGAGATTGCTATGAGCTAGGCTGATGCCATACCACTCTATGCAGGGCAATAGAGTAAGACTCTGTCTCAATAAATAAATAAATGAATGAATAAGAAGAAAGAAAAAGAAAGATGTAGTCGTCCTGATCCCAAGCAAGGAGATTAAGTCTGCAGGTACAGTTAAGGCTGCTCAATCAGCTAACCCTGAGATGAGAGATTATCTGGATTATCTGGATATCACAAGGGCCATTCTAAGTGAAAGATGGAGGCAGGAGACTTGGGGAAGGAGTGGTGACAACAGAAGCAGATGTCTGAAGCTATGACATTGCTGGTTTTGAATATGGACGGAAAGGCCTCAAGCCAGGGAATTTGGGTGGCTGGGGGGATTCTGGAAGCTTGAAAAGACAAGGAAAATGGATTTGCCTGCCAACACGTGATGATAGTTCAGTGAGACCTATGCCAGATTTCTATGCCAGATTTCTCATCTACAGAACTGGAAAATGATAAACTTCATGTTGTGTTCAGGCCCTAAATGTGTGGTGATTTGTTACAGCAGTCATAGCAAACTAATATGCTACCCAGCTTGTAAGTCGAAGATTCTACCCTTCTGTCCCTCCCTCATGCCCAATATCTGCCACTTATTTATTGTTACATGAAATTCCTAATACCTTACTTACAAAAACAATGCATATGATATTTTTAAACAATTCAGTGATTGTAAAGATGTGAATCAACGGCCAAATTCTTCACTCTTAGCCCTGCCTCTTATGTAAACATATGCAGCATGTCTTTTTATAAGAATGTGACCATACACAGTACCCATTTTGTTGGGAGACAGAGTCTCACTCTTTCATCCAGGCTAGAGTGCCCTGGCCCCACTGTAGCTCACAGCAATCTTATACTCCTGGGCTCAAGCAATCCTCCTCCCTCAGCATCTCAGGTAACTGGGACTACAGTTGCCCACTACCACCCCTGGCTAATTTTTCTATTTTTAGTGGAAAGGTTTTGCTCTTGCTAAGGCTGGTTTGGAACTCCTAATCTCAAGTGATCTTCTCACCGCACCCTCACAAAGTTCAAGGATTATAGGCCTGAACCACTACACTTGGCCTATATGCTCCATTTTAACACTTCAATTTTTATCATAAGGGCATTGGCATTTAAATGTTTATAGCAGCTCAATTTACAATTGCAGAGATGTATAAAAAACCCAAATGTCCATCAAGACATGAATAAATTAATAAACTGTGGTATTTTTATGCCATATAATGCTATACAGCCATAAAAAAGGTGGAGACTTTACATCTTTTGTATTTACCTGTATTTACTAGAATGTTCTCTAAATGGATTTAGGGAACATTCTCCTAAGTAAAGTGTCTCAAGAATGGAAAAACAAGCATACATGTGCTTAATACTATGTTAAAACTAGTAGATCAACAACTACAGGCCCAAAGGAGAGAAAAACACAATTAAATTCAAGAAAGGGGAAGGAGGAGAGAGGGGAAGAGGGTTCATCAAATTCCCACAGAATAAGTACAACGTAGAATTATATGGCACATTTCCTGTGTGAAGGACTTAACTGCAATTCAGAATTTGCCTTCCAAACGTAAACAATCTAATCATATGTGCCTTCATTTTAATCCGAAATTAAAAATGTGTGTGTATATATAGGACAAACAGATTTAATTCGTCCCTTAAAAATAGTTGTTTTTTATATATAAAGATCTATCGTTATTTATCAACCCTCCACTGGTTCCTAAACAGTCTCACTTTTTTTTTTTTTTTTTTTTTTTAAACGAATTGCTCCCAACAAAAGCGTTGTTTCCATCCCGGATTTGGGCGTTCCTTGGACCAGAAAGTGACACACAGCTGGGCCTCTGCTGTCAGCCACTGGCCGACCAAGCCCCGCCCACACTCCACGGCGGCCAATCCGCTCCCAGGGCGGCCGCCTCCGCGCTCCACTCCTTGGCGGTGACTTTCCACTTCCCCCAGCATCACATCGGCCACTCAGTCCCTTTACGGCTGAGCAGCTCTTTCCTCCGGGGAACCACCCCTGGCTGCTCCTAGCAGATCCCTTCTGCCCTGAACCCGCGCTGCAGGGAATAGCGGGGCAAAAGGTGAGCGTGGTCTAGCGTGGGTGCTGGACCCGGAGGGACTGCGGTGACAGAGGCCTCAGGGGCTGACAGCGACAGGATCCGGAGAGGGGGCTGGGTGGTGTATGCCCGGGAGGGTGGGGATGGATCTGGAGCCTTTGCGCATGCCGGAAGGTGACGGGCAGCCCACTGAGGAATCCTTCCTTTTGCCCCCCTTTCTGGTTTTTCTCTGCGGTCTCTATTTCATTCTGGCACCATGGTTAATTCTCTCTTCCTCTCGGGAGATGGATGACCCCCTTTTTCCTGTCATTTGTTTTGTGCTTCACCGGGAGCCTTTGAGATCTGAGCTCATAGGAACCATGGAGACGATATTATCTTATCTTCTGCGGGGAGTGGGGGTGGGGGCCCGATAGTGAATTCTTTTAGGGTAGCTTGTCTCTGCTTACCCCCTAAGTGAAAGTACTCAACCAAAGCCAGCGCTTTGCATGCTATGGGCTCTGAGTGTTTGTGGTGAGGGTGTGATGTCTGGGGGAGGGGTGCTGGCGAGAGTGGGAGAGTGGGTGCCAGGGTCCAGGAGAATGTAAGTCTGGAATGCATTTGGTCTGAACCCAGCAACTGCTGGATTATATGCCTGCCGGGTAAACAGCCAGGAGCTGGCCACCGGGTTGGCCCAACCTGTAAGGGAAGAAGGCCTTCAAGGGGTATAGGAGAAAAAGATCTTTGCCAGTTGGATCATCAGGAAAACTCTGAATAAGTACAGACCTGACTAGATAGAAGGGACAGAATGTATCTGTCTAGCTGACCAGCCAACCACTGTTTGTATTCCAGAAACATACCTACATGTTGACTTTCTCAAGTTTTTACTTTCATACCAATGACATTATCCTGTACATATTCTTAAGCTTTTCTAATTCAGCCTTATTGGTGCTTCCTTTAGTTTCATTCTTTATGTTATAAATGTACTATAATTTGTCCATTCTACTGCTGATGGACATTTTGGGTTGTTGGTAATTTGAGAGATATATTAATTATCTACAGCTGTGTAACAAAGTAGTCTAACACTTAGCAGTTTAAAACCAAAAACTCCAAATGAAACAAAACAAACTCTACTATCGCCTGTCTCAAGAGTGTCCGTGGATCAGGAATATAGCAGGGGCTTAGGCGGAAGTCTCTTGATTCAGGGTTTCTCACCAGCTGTAATCAAGAAATCAAGGTATTGGTTGAGGCAACAGTCATCGCAAGGCCAGGAATTGGGTTTGGGACAACCTTTCAGCCCTACTGACATGACTCCTGGCAGGTCCTTCAGCCTCACTGGCTTTGTCAGTTCTTTGCACATGGGCCTTTATAGAGGATGAAAACAATATGGCAGCTTGCTTTCCCCACCGTGAAAGCTCCCAGGGAGAAAGAAAAAAACAGAGAACTGATTCATTTTGTCACCTAATCACCAAAGTGACATTCCCATCACTTCTCCCATCTTTTATTCATTACAAGTGAGTCATCTTTAGGTCCAGCCCACACTCAAGGGGAGAGGTTTACACCAGGGGATAAATACCTGGAAACAGGGATTATTAGGGGCCATTTTAAAGGCTGCTTCTTACAGGGAATTTTAACGAATAATGTCCTCTACCATTCAAGTATCCTTGTGTAGGAGTTTCCCTGGAGTATATAGCTAGGAGTAGAACTGCTGAGCTGTAGAATTTATGTATAGTTGACCTTCTTAGGTTATTTCCAAGCTGTTTCCAAAGGGTTAAATCAGTTTGCACTCCCTCCAGCAGGGGGTAAGAGTTCTTGTTGCTCCACATACTTGTCATAACTTGGTCTTGTCAAATTTCATTTCTAGTCTGGCAGGCACGAAATAGCATACCACTGTGATTTTAATTAGCATTTCCTCATAACTCATGAGATTGACTATCTTTTTATATGTTGGTATTGTGCATTTTGTCTGTGAAATTCGGGTTCTGTCCTGAAAATATTCATTTGCATATTGGGTTGCTTACCTTTTTCTTATGGACTGAATGGAATGCCTTGTTTTTAATCTGGATACTAATCAATTCCAAATTAACTATATATGTCACAAATATGTGCTTCCAACTGCTTCTGAATTTTTCTTCCTCTGTATGTCCATTTCTTTCTCTGTGTCTATCAGAGTGTAAGCTTTGAATTTTGATTTTAAGTTACCAGTGCTTTCTTTTATATTTTTTCTTGCTTACAAATTGTTTCCTGAAGATTGTAAATTAATTTTGCTATATTGTTTTCTAAAAGCTTTTGTGGTTTTGTAGTTGACAATTAGTTTTAATCCACATAGAAACTGATTTTTATGTTGTTTGTTCCAGATGGATAATCAGTTTTCCAAGCACCAGTGATCTGCATGAATCAAGTTTTCCATATGTGTCCCATAATTTGTTTTATATGTCCTCTCTTATGATCTATTTGTCCAACTGCACCAATACTAAATTTTTAACTACTATAGTCTTATAAAAAGGCTTGAAATCTGATAGAAAATTCCTCACGCCTGTTTATTCTTCTTCAATAGCGTTTTAGCTATTTTTACACCTTTGACCTTACTTGTAATTATTTTTTAAAAATTTGTCAAGTTCTCCAAAACAAACAAGCAAGTAAACCCATTGAGATTTTAATTGATAGTGTACTGACACTATATTTTAGTCTGTTTTGTGTTGTAAGTCATAATGAACAGAACCGTATTGACTCATGATTCTAAAGGCTGGGAAGCCCTAGATCAAAGGGTCACATCTGGTAAGAGCCTTCATGCTATTTCATACCACAAAGGAAAGGAAAAGAGAGGGTAAGACAGAGAGAAAGTAAAAGAGAGCCTAATTCCTCCTTTTAAAACCAAACCACTCTGTTGATAATATCATTAATTCATTCCCTTTGTCCTCATGATCTCTCTTTAGGGCCTACCCACTTCATAACACTGTTGCATTGGGAATTGAGTTTCCAACATATGCTTTTTGGAGAACACTTTCAAACCATGGCCCTCTATATATCAATTTGGGGAGCTATGACCTCTTTAAGATATTCAGTCTTTCCACCAATAACTTGGTATAAAATGCTATTTATTTAGGTCTTCTTTAATGTTTTGTACTATTTTTTTTTTTTGTTAAATGTATTTAACAATTTTTTTTTATAAAAAGAAAACTATAAATTTTTCTTTGAAAAAGTTATTTTATATGTTTATTGTTGCTAACATACAAAGATCCACTTGCCTTTATATATTAATCATATATACATCCAATTTGATGAAATTATTATTGACCCTCAGTTCATCTGTAGATTCTTTTAGACTTGCTGCATAGACAATCATATCATCTGAAAATGACAGTCTTGTTTCTTCCTTTCCAGTTTTTATACCTTAATTTCTTTTTTCTGTCTCACCGCCACAGCTAGGAGCTCCAATACCTTGTTGAATAAAAGTAGTGAAGAATATCTTGTTTCATCCTTAAGATAATAAATATTTCATCCTATCAACTTTGAACATGTCATTTGCCATAGTAATTTTATAAATGCCTTCCCTATGGTAAGGAATTTCAGTTCTTCTTTTGGTAAACACTTTTATTATGAATGGATGTTTTATCAAATGCTGTTTTTGTAGCTCCTGATAATATCACATAATCCTTTTTCCTTTAACTATATTAACATGGTATAGTATTGAATTTCTGATATTAAAACAATTTTATATTCCTAGAATACAAAATCCTTCCTTGTAAGTATGTAATAACTTTTATATGTAGATATAGATATAAAGGCAAACATTAGATTGTTGAACTTGCATGTATGAGTTGAGATTGGTCTGCTCTCATCCTTTCTGTGTTGATCTTTATTCATACTGGTATCATCATAAAATAGTATGGGTAATATTCTCTTTTTCTATTCTATTCTTTGAATTTTTGCAAGATTAGTATTATATGATTCTTAAATATTTCCTTGAATCACTTGGAAAACTAGCTAGGTTTAGAGTTTACTTTGTCAAGAGATTCAACTTGGCTGATTTACTTTAATGACTATAGAATTATTTAGGTTTTATTATGGGGTCAGTTTTGAAAAATGGTATTTGTCAAGATATGTAAGCATTTCATACATATTCATATATGTATTCATATATATTCTTACATATGTATAAATGTTTATTCATTATATAAAAATATAGTTGACTCTTGAACATGTGAGGGTCAGGACACCAACCTAAGGAGTAGGAGCACAGTAAAAAATTCACATATAACTTTGACTCTCCAAAATTAGCTACTAGCAACCTACTATTGACCAGAAGCTTTATGGTAACATAGTCAAATAACACATACTTTGTGTTATATGTCTTACATGCTATATTCTTACAATAAAGCAAGATAGAAAAAAGAAATTGTCATTAAGATAATCATATAAGGGTAGCACCTGTGACTCAAAGGAGAATGGTGCCAGCCCCATATACCGGAGGTGGCGAGTTCAAACCTGGCTCTGGTCAAAAACTGTTAAAAAAAAAAAAGAAAAAAAAGAAAATCATATGAAAGAGAAAATATGTGTACTACTCAGTAAGTGGGAGTGGGTCGTCTTGAGGGTCTTCATCCTTATTTTCTTCATGTTGGGTAGCCTGAGGAGGAAGAGAAAGAGGATGGGTTGATTTTGCTGTCTGGTAGTGGCAGAGGAAGAAAATACACAAGTCAGTGGACCCAAGCCGTTCAGGACGATGTTGTTTAGGAGTCAACTGCACGCATATGAATATGTGTATTCAAAATTGATAAATAAAATTATTCATAATATATTTTTATTATCTGTTTAAATCTTGCCATCACCTATCAATATGATCCCCTTTTCATTACTAATTAATACGTATATATTTTTTCCTCTTTTGTTTTAGTTTTGCAGGAACTTGGTCTACTTTATTAGCTCTTCCACACTCTGACGGAAAAACTGTTAACTTTTTCTCACAATTTTTTGCCTGTTTTATTACTTCTTCCTGCTTTCTTTTAATTTTTCAGTAATTTATCTTCCAAGCTTTTAGGTTGTAAGCT